TGCTCCGCCCCCTCTCCCCACAACCTTCTGTACGGATTTGCTCTCTGGAAGGAATTCTGGTTTTGCGTGATCCTGCCTGCGTCTGTGTCTCTGATTCCGCCAGCGGCAAAAAACAAAAATAATAACAATAATAAATAGCCTTGATCAGGGATGGCTGGCTGGCCTTGGCCTCTCACTTCCTGGGTGGCCCTGATTGCAGGGGTGGGACAGATGGCAGGGACAGAAGGGTATGCAAAGATGCCAGCTGACCAGTCTACAGCTCTGCCACACGTGTACCTACTAGGTGTCAGATGGAACATAGATGGCATACTGTCGAAACTTAACCTCTGACAGTTCGTCCCTAGCAGTTCATCTGGGAGCGTGGTAGGGTCCGGGCATTGGCCTCTTTTTCCTGTGCCAGTGAGGACAAGGCCTGGGTCAGAGCGCCTGGGCCTGCAAAGAGATCGGGGAGGCTGGCGGTGGGCTGAAGGTTGAGGCTGGGGCCTGGCTGGAGACACAAGGTGCAGCTGTTCAGGCTGGAGAAGTCGACAGCCAAGAGGCCAAAGAGTGTGAAGAGCAGCATGGCAACAGCCCACTCGCAGGCAGCAGAGGCGGAGCGCAGCGGCCAGGTGTGGAGGACAACCACTTTACACCAGGTCAAGGGCACACCACCAGAGAACTAACTACCCGGGAGCCCAACCGGGTTGCCCTATAACTGTGAACAGGTAAGTCTATCTTGGTACCATCCTGTGACATGCTCGCCCTGCCCTGGCTAAAATAACCCCTCTGGCTGGCCACCCTCCTTGGCAGCTCCAGGACACTCTCAAAGGGATGCTCTCCAACCCTGTCTCCATCTCAGCCTGTTTCCCACATTGTTTCCCCTACACAACCCTCCTGTTCGTATCTCATTCCCAATATCTGAGAACAAGGTTCTTAGCCTCCCATCAGCCTCTCCAGATCCTGTGATGGTTCCGCTATCTCCCCAGACAACCACACACCTTGCTTCTACCTCCAAATACCCAGGCTTCCTAAAGGTGCCTGTTCACCCAAGGCCCACAAGTCCCTCCTGCTCACTCCCAAACATAATTGAATCTTCTCCCAAAATATCTTCCTCTTTCTAGGTGCCCCGACCTCCATAATAGTCCCACTATCCACTCATGTGCCCAAAATCACCCTCACCACTTCCCTCCTCATGCCCAGTGTCCGGCTGGTCACCCCAACACTTATCCTATCTGCCTTACTGTCTCTGGCCTTGCATCTCTCTACTAGTCTGTCCTGTCCCTTCTCTGGCTCCCCAGTCCCAGCTCCTTAAAATCTTTTTATGACCATGGTGCACACATACTCCAAGCTCCAGCTTAGCTGAGACCCCTCTTGTTTTTTGGGACCCCCTCACTTGAGCACCCTTCCTCCTCCTCTCTGCCAAATTAGCTTTGACTCCCTCCTCCTAGACCATACTAGATATTATTTCATTCATTCAAGGATTTTGAGGCTGTCAATAAATCCGACGCCATCCCTGGCTCCATGGATCTTTGAGCGAGAGGTGTGAGCACCCAAACAATCCGCTTGCTCTCAGGACTGACCTTGTTCCTTGCTTGCTCACAAGCTTTCCATGGCTCCCTACTGCCCCAGGCAGGAGCCTGAGCCTCTAACCTCTCACCTGAGCACCCAAAAGTATTCTGGCCTTGCCTGCAGCCTTATCTCCTCCCCCAGCTCATCATTTCACCCTCTTTACGCATGCACCTGCACTGTCCCCCAACCTCCCAAGCCAGGCCCAAAGCAGCTGGTTCTGCAGGACAAGCTTAGAATTTACCAGGTCTAAGACCCATCTTTGCAGACATCCAGGCCTACTACACTCAAATGGCCATCTCTATGGTCCCTCCCCGCTCTCCCTGCATCCAAGGGATATTTGAGCACCACAGAATAAGGACCCTGTAACCAAACTGATAATCAGCCCAGTGGAGACTTTGAAAGGGGCTGGGCTGGATCTGATCAGCAGCTGCATCCAGCAGTGAAGATGTGCTGGTTTACAGCTGACGTAGCCCTTCTGGCCACATTCATGCAGTTCGGTTTGCCACTCTGGGAAGTGAACGAGGTCTACCAAATGTGGCCAGCACAGGCCTCGGCTGGGCTCCTTCCAGCCTCTTGGGAATGCCAGCGTCCTCTTGGCCGCCCTTCTGTCCTCCCCACAGGAACAGGTGGTCTCCAAAGCTGAGTCTGCAGCCCTTACTCTCTCAGAGCACTCTACCTAGCAGTGATAACCATCAGTATAATAAAAAGCAATTCCATTTTGCAGACATGGAAACTGAGGCTCAGAGAGTGATTTGACTCCCCCAGAGAGGTGTGCTGAGCTGGGTTCTGGGGTGACTCAGAAATGGGTTAGAGTCAAGGTGCCACTCAGTGTTGTGCTGGTAAACATTTAACAACCAGCTCCAATTTGTAGTATTTGCCACGTCCTGTGGTGTAAATATTCCCACCGTGGCTGTTTCAAGCTGCTAACGGGAGGTCACCCAATATGGAGTTGGGAAGAAAAACACAAAGCCTGCCCTTGAGAGCCGGCATGAGCGGCCGCAGCCCACCACTATGTCCACCGCTGAACTTCATGGCAAGTCTCGGCCAAGTGACTCCCCCTGTCTGAACCTGTGTCCAGTCTTAGCCAGCATGATGCATGGCACACAGCAGATACCCCAATGGACTGCGGGTACCCAAAATGATTGTTTTATCATCCTCCCGATATTTATTGGTCACTCGCTGTGTGCCAGGCACCAGTCTAAGCACCTCACCTGTATCACCTTCACTACAACCCCGGAATGGCCCTATTATCATCCACATTTGATAGACGTGGAAACTTTATGCAGAAGTTAAGAAGGCAGCGGACCTTCCGCCAGCTAGCATGTGGACATGGTGGGTTTACAACCCATGCAGCGTGACCCCAGATCAGAAGTCTCGACTGTGCCATAGCAGAGCCGAGAAAGGAGGGGGGCAACTACATTAGCACAGCAGAACTACCCCAATGAAAAACCACCTCAACCCCTGCCCCTGGCCCCCAGAAGGATACTGGCCACCATGAGGATGGTGCAGAGGCTGCAGAGGACCAGGCGGAGTGGCCTGATCCAGGGAGGCCCGGGCTGGGGCAGGCCTTTCATCCTCCAGGAGAGAAGGAGCTGCAGCCAAAAGTAGAGGTGGCCCACAAAAAAGGCGAAGAAGGCCCCGGTCAGGTGTGTGACCCGCTGGTTCTTTTGCTGGAAGGAGGAGGGATAGAGTTGAGGGGAAGAGGGAAGAACTGTGGGGAGGCCAGGGCCATGAGGAGGGGAGGGGACCCTGACCAACTCGAGATGTGACTGACAACTGCCATGCCCTGTGATTGGTTCATTGATTAGCCTCGGTCCCCAAAACACTGCCTGGAACATAGCAGATGCTCCTAAATATCAGTGCAATAAATCTTTCATTCTCAACCAGGGTAGGGAAAAGCAGATATTGCCACCAAGCAGGTAAAAACTGGTTCTTGGAGGGCAAAAATTTCTTATGTATCACAATGGTTTCTGACTTCCCAATCTATGGTATATTTTACGTTAAAGTTTTTAAGTATTAAAAATTTCATGGGGGAAAAGGGGTGATTAGGGGAAAATGTCTAAAAAGCCTCCTTAGGGGACTGATGTCAGAACTGAAGAAAAAGATAGGTTGTGGAACATAGGAATAAGTGAATGAGAAAATGAATGCCTACACAAAGGTGATGAGGGATTTTTATCAACAAGCTGGAGGCTGCTTCACCTCTAGTCTGAACCCCTGTGGTTTTGCCAGCCTTTGGAATCAGAGCCATCGTAGTAAAGGAGCATGATGACATAAAATAACTCAGTAAGATTTCTCCATTCATGTATGCGACAAAGATCTGCTGAGCTCCGTGGCTGAGAACACGAGTTCTAAAATCTATGAATCTGGGTTCATTTCTGACCACCACGGACCAGCTGATAAAAAATGTTATCGGTGAGATTTGGCCAGGAAGGACGTACCTGGAGTTCTCGTGCTGATGGGTAAAATAGTACAGAAGGTAAAACCTAAAAACACTCAACCAGTGTGGCAAACGCTAAGATTGAGTGAGTCTCAGCCATTTCTTCACTGTGGGAGGCGGTGGCAAGGAATCACCTCAACCTCTTCGGGTGCAATTAAATCATTATAAAGAGCCTCCCACGCGGCGCTCGATTTGAAGAGCAGAAAAACTCGGCACCACCTGCCACGGCCCGAGAACCGCAGAGAAATACAAGTCCCAGGAGGCCACGCGTGGTCCAGCCCCCAAAATCAAGAGCCGGCGGCCCTGGAGAATGCTGGGAATTGTAGTCCAGATCTGGCGGGCCAGGGCCCATGGGCAGGCTCCGCGAGGCTGCTACGTCTCACCTGGAAGTTGCCCACCACGGAGGTTCCCAGGGCACAGAGGAGCCCCGACCACAGGATCAGCTGGTTAGGCCACCTTCTGACGCCCCAGTCCCGGAGCTGGTGGTAACGGAGAATGCAGACCCAGGCGGCTGGGAGGAGACGGAAGTGGGCGAGAGACCCAGGCCCCGGGATGGGGAGGCGATGGGCTGGAAGAGGCTTGGGGTCCAGGGGTAGGGGCCAAACTCCTGGTTTTAGGGGAAGAGGAGTGACCTAGACTCCTGGTCTGAGGGTAGAGGGGCTGGGGCCTGCGGTCCCCTTAGCTGGGGGCCAGCACTGAAGGAGACGCGTTGGTGTAGTTACCCATAGCAGCTCCCATGTTGAGCAACTGGCTGAAGATGCAGCTCTGAGGAGGGTACGATCCACAGAGACTGGGGAAGATGAAGGGTTGTCCTGTGGCTCCTCACAGCCAGGACCCCCTTTCCTCCCTCTGGACCCCCCAAGCGCCATAACTACCTGATATAGGGGATGCCCTCGGTGAGGTTCACAGCCCTGTTGGCCACTGCAATGGCAAAACTGAAGGAGGGGAAGACGTCAAATGAGCAGCCGCTTTCAGTGACAACTTAACCCACAGAAATGGGGACTGCTAGCTCCCTCCAGGCCCCTCCACCTCTTCCCTCAGACCCAGGAGTCCAGGCCCCCAGACTCCTCCCTCAGACCCAGGCATTTCTTTCTTCTAACACTCACACAGTCCAGATGCTAGCGACAGCCCAGAAGGCCAGGAAAACAGGCAACAGGGACAGGTAGCCCCACATGCCGGGCTTGGGCTCTGCAAGGAAAGGGTGGGGCCACCAATATCTGTATGTGTCTCTGTGCCCCTAGTCTCATTCTCTCCCCGCCAATTCCCCTCCTCCCCTCTCTGTATGAGTTGAGGAACCAGCCCTAAGGGTCCCGGTGTTGTCAGCCTGGGGCACTTTCCCTATTTTTCAACTGACCTTCAAGCCAAGCCTGATCTTGAACTTTCTCCAGCTGCCATCCCCGCACCCCATCCCTCCCCTACACTACTAGCCTCTGGGCTCCCTGGGGATGCTCACCTGTCCTTCTCTCCAGCCCTCTCAATCCCAGGACTGGGGCTACATGAGAGGTGCAGGGAAGAAGGGCTGTGATGTGGTGTGGGTCTGGGCCAACATCAGCTCCGCGGAGCCAAAGTCCACACCGGAACACTTGCAGCTCAGTGTCGGGCCGGGAGTCTGACCCACTGCTTTCTAGGGACCTCACCCCCAAACTGCCACTTCTGGTGCCCCACCCCTTCCTTCCACCTGCTTTATAGGTTCAACGGGCCAACTCCTAGCTTATCCTCCCTAGGACACAGAAATCAGAGCCTCGGGCTCTCCCCGCCCTTTCTCCGTGTGAGACCCAGTCAGGCCCCCAGGCCCTTCTAAAACACTTGTATTGCTTTTGAGCCCCTGGGGCCCAACCTCTAGTTCTTACCTCCTTCAGCACCCAGAATCCAGGCTTGTGGTCCAGATCCTTTCTGGGTGCACTTTTATCCTTAGCCTGCTGGGTGTGGGGCCCCCGTGGCCCTGATTCCTCCCCGCAGCTTGCCTCCCCGTCTCCCTTCCTCTACCATGCTGGAGTTCCCCAGCAGGCAGGGTGTGGGTGAAAGGGAGACCTTGGTGCTGACACTTCCTCTCAAAAGCTTTGACTTGCACTGCCAGGACCATTTCCGCCCTCTTTACACAGTAGCCCTCCACTTTATGGCTTCCCCTCAGGCCCCAGCCTCCTCCTGCTTCCCCAGGACTCAGGATTCCCGGCCCGCAGCCTTCTCCCTCAAACCTGGAGGTCCGGGTCCCCAGCCTCCTCCTGCAGTATGTCTCTTATTTTTTAATTGATGTTAACTCACAAAACATATATTTAACCATTTTAAAATATACAATTCAGTGACATTTAGCACACTTACAATGTGTGTAACTGCCACCTCTATCTAGTTCCAAAACATTTCATCACCCCAGAAAGCAACCTCATATCCATTAAGCACCCTTCCCATTCCTTCCCCCACCCCCCAGTCCTGGGCCACAACCAATCTGCTTTCTGTTACTATGGATTTGTCTATTCCAGACATTTTATATAAACTGAATCACACACTCTGACCTTTTGTGTCTAGTTTCTCTCACTGAGCATCAGGTTTTTGAGTTCCATTCACGGGGTAGCATGGATAGGGGCTCCATCTGTTTTTGTGGGTGAATCATATTCCGTGGGCCACACTCCTTTTGGCACTCAAGTGTCTGAGGCCCAGCAATCAATCAAGAATGCGATGTCGTCCCTGTCCTCAATGGGATTTCAGGCTGGAGAGCACACATGTATCTGAAAACTAGAATACAAAGTGTTATAACGAATGCATCAATGGGCATGGTGACCCCCAGAAGAGGAAGTGGCTGACTAGCAATGGTAGCCAGCATGTGTGTGGTTGTGGGGGATGATCAGGAAAGGAAAATGGGTGTGAATTTGCAAGCTGCAGGAAGGCTTTCTCAGTGAAGTCCTGATGGTCCCTGAAATCTGGCTCGTCAGGATCTAATGCCTTTGTCTGCTGGGTTACAAAGCATAGCCCCTCTAGGAGAAATGAGCCAGGACTCAAAGCTCTCGATTGCCACAAAGGGTTTGGATGTTCTCCTGAGGGTACTGGGGAGCCATGGAAGGTTCTTGAGCAGAGAAGACAGACAGGAGCTGACACCAATGGTATGTAGACAGGAAAGAGACATAGTGACAATAACCTCCAACACGTCTGCAGTGCCAGGCACTGTGCTACGTATTCCACATGAGCTAACTCACTGATTCTCATGACAGCCCTGAAGTGTCATCGGCATCTTTATGAACTAGATTCCTTAATCCTTATAGAAGTAAAAGTCCTAGTTTCTTGACTAAAAAGCACCTGGAAATAGTTCCAAACTTCATACATGCAAGAGGTAGCCCGGAAGGCTTGGAGTTTTCAATTCAGTGAGACTTGAGTTCGAACCCCATCTCTGCCACTCAAGAGCTAGGTGCCTGTATGAGTTTCCTATGGCTGCTGTAACAAAAGACCACAAATTTAGTGGCTTAAGACCACACATTTAGTAGCTCACAGTTCTGGAAGTTGGAGTCCCAAATGGGTCTTAGGGACTGAAATGAAGATGTCGCTGGGGCTGGTTCCTTCTGGAGGCTCCAGGGGAGAATCTGTCCCTCACCTTTTCCAGCTTCCAGAAACGCCTGTGTCCTTTGGTGTGTGGCCCCTTCCTCCGTGTGCAGAGTGCCTCACTCCAAGGTCTGCTTCTGTCATCACGCCCCCTCCTCTGTCTCTGATGATGACCCCTTCTTTCACTCATAAAGACCCTATAATGACATTAAACCTCACCCAGATTGCCCTCCCCATCTAAAGATCCTTAATTTAATCACATCTGGAAAGTCTCTTTTGCCATGTGAGGTGCCATCATCACCAGTCCCGGATATTAGGACGTGGACATCGTCAGGGGTCCAGTATTCTGCCTCTACAGTCCCCTTGGGTAGGGGGCATCGGTTTCTTCAGTCTGTAGATAACAGTGCATAGTGTCACTGTGGGGACAGGCTGATGAATTTGTGTGTCCACCTCTGCCTCTTGCTGGCTGTGTGACCTGGGGCAAATAGCTTCATCTGTCTGCACCTCAGTTTCCTCATCTGTGAAATGAGGATGAGAAGAGTAACTACCACAGAAGGCCATGGTATGGAACTTATGAGTCAATCCCTTTACATGGGGGTTTGTGGAAAGAATCAAGTGGGAAAAAAAAAAAAAAACAATCACCATCCACCTTGGTTGCATTACTGGCACATGGTCAGTGCTCAATAGAGGAGACTGTCTCTCTCTAGGTGGTGTATGTTAGCTGCTGGGGACAGGAGGGAGATTAGAGCTCTTGGGCTACGTGTGTATGTGTGTTCCATTTAGAAAATATTCACCAAGGACCCACTGCGTGCCAACATTGTTCTAGATCCTGGAGACAAAACAGGGAACAAGCAGACAAGAAGTGCCCTGATAGAGTGAGGCTCTAGTAAATTCTCATCCCTCTCCCCTCAACTATTCTACCCTCCCACGCCTTTCACCCTCACCCCACCCCTCCAGCCACAAATGCTTTTCCTTCTTGTCCCCTCCTGAGAGGCTCAAGACTGATAGAATGCTCAGTTTGAGAATTAGGCTCCACCCACTATCCACTTGTAGGCTGAGGGCATGGATTTTCTGGATCCTTCCAGAAACTGGGGCCACTGGCCTGGCTCAGCCAAGGGGAAGAGGCTTGTGGTCTCCATCTGTGTGAGATGATGTTGCAATTTCATGTTTAGGAAACTGCTTCCAGTTGGGGGTGGGGACCGTTTTTTTGCCTTGGAGTGAGGAATCTGCCCAGGCAGGGGGTGTAGGCATCCAGGGAGCTTGGTTTTCTCATCTGTAAAAACAAGGATCATAATGGTGCCAGAGTTTGAGAGTGAGTTTATATGACGACTTAGAACAGTGCCTGAACCGTAGGAAATGCCATGTAAAGCTTGGTATTGGCATCGTGGTCTCCTCCAGGTGACGCAGAGTATTTCTAAAGAGCCACCTGCCGGCCTAGAGGTCACGCTGCTTTGTAGAGTACATACCTGTGCCTCACGATCTTGATGTGTCATTAGGTCCTCCAGGAAGCAAGTACTGTCATGGCGTCAGAAATGCAAGGAATCTTGGGGGAGTGATGCCAGTGAACGATAAAGGGAAGAGGGAACGGGGTGGACAGTGAAAGCCTTCAGGCTGGAACTGACAGGAGATGGGGGAGGAAGGCATGGGTCAACAGAGAGCTTCAAACTGTGGCTCAGCACTGAGAAAGCCCATCCAGCCCTACAAGCAGATGAAGCGCAAAGGTTTCCCATATCGGCAAATCCACAGAAACAGAAAGTAGGTTGGTGGTTTGCCAGGGGATGGGGGAGGTGGGGTGTGATTGCTTAATCACTTCCTTTTGGGGAGATGAAAATGTTTTAGAACTAGATAGCAATGATGGTTGCACAACAGTATGACTGTACTACAGGCTACTAAATTATACACCTTCAAATGATTGAAATGGTATGTGTTATGTGAATTGACCTCAATTATTATTTTTTAAATGATCACCCTTAGAGGAGTCTCACATTGGGTGGAAATGGCCAGGCCATAACCACACCACCACCACCATGCTTAGTCATTGTTTGGGGGCTGTGGGAAACGACCAGGACCTTGATAAAAAAAAAAAAAAAAAAAATAGTTGCAGAAGGCTGTGGGTCAAACGCAGTCTTCCTAATCAATGTTCTTTCTTGAAAGAAATAGCCCCAGGGCAACCATACTTGCCCAGTGTGGCTCAGTTACTTAGTGGAGAAGCTGAGGTCTGTCTGATTATAAAATTTGGTTCTTTCTGACTGCAGCCATGCCACCTTGAACATGCCTGATCTCGTCTGATCTCGGAAGCTAAGCAGGATCAGGCCTGTTTAGTACTTGGATGGGAGACCACCTAGGAAGACCAAGTGCTGTAGCCGTCAAAAAAAAAAAAATTGGTTCTTTCCAATGTGCCATGCTTCCTCCTCAAATAGCCATCCATATATCCACCTGCCCAACCTCCCATCTACCCATCCATTCATCTGTGCATATGTTCTCGCTTTGATGCATTCATCTGACTAGTTTCCATCTACCCATTCACCCATCTGCCTATCTACCCAACCATCACTTGTTCAGATCTTCTAGCTATCCAAAGCTCTAGCCATCCTTTCAGCTATCCACTCATCCACCCATGTTCCTTCATTGTGTAATCCATTCTATCAGTTCCCTCTTCCCATTTACCCTACAATCTATTTGTCTGTCAGTTCAACCTTCCATTTCCCCATTGATCCAATCCACATAATTGACCACCTGTGTTAGCTTCTTATAGCTGCTATGACAAATTCCCGCAAACCTTGTGACTAAAAAACAATGGAAATTTGTTCCCTTACAGTTCTGGCAACCCATATTTCAACATCGGTTGTGCTGTG